TGCCTTCCAGGTCAGATTGGCAGGGACTACAGTGTTTCTTGCCTTCCTCATGCCACAGGCTAGGTGGGGCCTGTTGCTCAGATCTACTGAGCATATATTCATAGATTGTAGAGTCGGAAGGGACCACAAAGGATCATCGTGTCTGACTCCCTACCCCTGGCAGGAAAGAGGACCGAGGTTAGATTACCCCAGTCAGGTGTCTATCAAGCCTCCCCTTGAAGACCTCCAAGTTAGGTGATAGTACCACCTTTCTTGGAAGCCCACTCCAGATATTAACCAACTACTTCACTGTAATAGTAGTGGTTGGGCATTGCTAGTGCCCTTGTCACCCCTTCATTTACCAGTGGCAAGTCATAAGGTGCTCTGGATGTTTCTGGTTATGTGAGCGTTAGAAGTGGTGACTTTGGCCAAGTGGTTGCCTGATAACACAGGGGACTGGACTCCATGGCCGAGGAGTCCACTTCCAGTCCCATGTTGCTATGTCTATTTCAAGGGAGTATTGTGTGTTGTGTATAAAAGAAATTTGGAAAAAACTTAGAAAACAGTCACTCCCAAACTGAGATTTTTTTTTTAAGGTCAGTCTTCTGTCTGTACTGAATTTATTCTGCTGGGTTATAAATATGTAAAATCTGTGTTACTAAGGGAAGCACTAACAGAGTTTTTAACAGTAGGGTTGGCGTAATATTTAAATTTCCAGCTCCAAATAACATTTTGTTCTGCTTTTCTATTTCTGCTAAGTGGAAGATGTTGATACTTTTGTTTACAAGATTCTGAGGCCTAGAAATCCCTTGTTGATACTGTGGTAAAGCAGCCCACCCTCTTGGATATCCAGGGATAGTCATAACTTTTTGGGCTATGTCCAAAAGGATGTCTGAAATAGAACTTTTAGGTCTCAGATTGGCATCAGGTCATTGTGCTTAAAGGTGCACCAGTATATCGGTCTGATATTGGATCAGTACAGATATAAAGAAAATTGGCTGTGTTGGAAATCGGCCCGATGTGACTGATAATTTGGCCAATAAATACTCGTGTGTGCGCAGCTGCAGCATAGTACAGAGGTGGCGAGGAGTGCAGCTTGGCAGCATGGAGAGCTGCACGCAGCTGGTAAGTTGGTTGTGGTGGAAGGGGCGTGGGGGTGCAGATCAACATCCTTCACGATGACGGAGGGGCTAGGGCTGGGGCAGAGGCTGCCCAGCCGGAGCATGGCAGGGTACGGGACGGAGCTGCATCTCATTGTGGGGTATGGCTCCTCCAGCTGCGTGCACCCCTAGAGGGCATGGAGGGTGGGGGCGGGAGACCTGCAGCGGTGGGCTAGAACCAGGGCTGTGCTGGGCTCTTCTCGACAGGGGCTATGGAGGGGGCTGCAGCCACCCCAGATTTCACCGTAGCCCTGTTCCCAGCTCCGGGGTTGCACTGGGCAGACGTTGGCACTGGAGCGGGGCTATGGCAAAATTTGGGGCGGCAGCAGACTACTGTTTTATCTGTGTGTTCAAAGATGGCTGAAGAAGCCTGTCTGGGGTTGACAGACTCTACTGCAGCTTGGATATGTGTTTCCATGTGGAGTGGGTGGTGCTGGATCTTGGTTCTGCCCCAGCTCCAGATCACACTGGCATTGCCACAGAATCACAGCCCCAGCTCCGGAGCAGCTCCCCACCCAGCCGTGCACCCTTCCAGTGCTGCTGGGGCTGGTCTCCATGGAATCCCTGGCCTTGCACTGTTACAACCCTGCAGCTGCTGGGATCCCCATGGAAACTGGCTGCAGCAATGCAGGTGGGGGCTGCTGGGAAATAGTCTGCCAGGGGACTTTGCCTGCCCCTGCACTACATCATCAGCATACTGGAGCTCGATGATTGAGGTCAAAGTGGTGTTGGTTTTGGCCGAGTTGGTTGAGTTTAAAGAGCTTACCTACCATCCAGTTCAGCTCCACTCTGGCTAGAAGCTTGCTGGTGGTCAGATGTAGCATTGCAGCAAGGAATATCAAGAAGCGTGTTGGAGCAGTGACACAGCTTTGCTTAACTCCTGTCTTAACCTCAAAGGGATCTGTGATAGGTAATCTGTGATTACTGAGAACCACCACTCTCATATCATCATGGACCAGGCAGAGAATGGTGACAAATCTTAGTGGGCATCCATACCTAAGAAGGATCCTCCACAGTGTTTCTTGGCTGACAGTCAAAAGCTTTCATGAGGTTAAAGAAGGCCATGTAAAGAGGCTTATGCTGTTCCCAGCATGTCTCCTACAGCTGGTGAGCTATGAAGATTGTCAGTTGTGCCTACACTGGGATTCCAGGAGAAACTCTCCAGGAAGTGGAACGAGATGGTTCAGGAGGATTCTCACAATGATCTTTCCTATGGTGGACAGCAAGGCGATTCCTTTGTAATTTCCACAGTTGGACCTGTCTCCTGTCTTGAAGATTGTCACAATAATGGCATTCCTGAGGTTGTCTGGGATTTCCTTCTCATTCCAGATGAGGGCATGGAGCTGTGATGTGAGCTCCTCTTCCCCCTGCTTGAAGATTTCAGCGGGGATTCTGTCTGCTCCAGATTCCTTGTCGTTCTTCATCTGCTTGAGGGCTTTCCTGAACTTGTCAAGGGTTGGAGGGATTCCAAGATCATCTCTGACTGGGTGTTGTGGGATGGAGTTGAGTGTGCTTTTCGTACGGCAGTCTCAGTTGAAAAGGTCTTCAAAATGTTCCTTCCAATAGGTGTTGATAGCTCCCCTTTCTTTGATCAGTCTACTTCATTCTTAGGTCTCAAGGGGGTTTGTCCCTGTGTGCTCAGACTGTAGGTGGCTTAGGTACACTGAAGAAACCGTGCATATTGTGGATGTCAGTGAGATGTTGAACCTTGTCTTCCCACCATTTGTTCTTTATATCGCAAGTCCACCTTTGGATCTCTGTCTTGGCTTGTCGCAGCTTCAATTTCTTTTGCTTGGAGCTGGTGTTGTTTTGCCAAGCACAAAAGTGCTTGGGCTTACAATTGATCAACTCTTGAATCTTCTGGTCATTTTCATAAAACCAGTCTTGATGCTTTCTGGTAGAGAATCCAAGTGTTTCTTGACAGGTTTGATGATGGTGGACTTGAGGGCAACCCACATACTGCTGACATTTTCCCATTGTTGATTGGAATTCGCTACTCGTTCATTGAGGCACTGGTGGAAGAGGTTTTGCTTGCTTGTTCCCTGAGTCCTTCAGCGTTGATCTTCCGTTGGCATTACTTCTGCTGCAGCTGTCATGTGGGAGCTAGTTTGAGTGACACAAGTGGATGAGTTGGTGGCCAGTCCAGCAGTCATCAGCTCCTTGCATAGCTTTCATGATGCGGACATCTTTGCGGTCCCAGGCATGGGCGATGACATTGTCAATCGGCTAGCAATGCTTAGATTGTGGGTGTTGCCATGATGTCTTGTCCCTGTTTTTCTGGTGGAACAGGGTGTTGGTGATGGTGAGTCTGTTTTCCGTGCATTTGATCAAGAGGAGGATGCCACTGGAGTTGGCCTTTCCTATTCCTTCCTTGCTGATGGTTCTGTTCCAGAGATTAGAGTCTCTTCCAACTCCGGCGTTAAAATCACTAAATAGAATAAGTCTGCCTCCCTCTGGAACGCTACAAAGGACTTGGTCAGGGTTGGTGTAGAATTCCTCCTTGGCTTCATTGGTGCCGTCAAGAGTCAGGGCATACATGCTGATGACAGTGGCAATGTTGGCTCCACCAGTTTAAGATGGAGAGTCATGAGGCGCTTATTCATTCTGATAGGGAACTCATTGAGTTAATTTATGAGTTCATTCTTAACGGCAAAACCAACTCCATGAAGTCAGTGTTCTCCTTTCATATACCCTTTCTATACCTTTCCAGAAGAAGGTATAGTCGCTTCCATATTCTTTGAGCTGTCCATGCTTGCTGTGTCTTGCTCAGCACAGCTACGTCAGTGTTGTGTTGCCTGAGTTCTCGGGTCGTGATTGTAGTGGCGCTCTGGGCATTCACTGTTAGGCTTCTCCATGAGGGTCCTGATGTTCCAGGTCCCAGAAATGGTGCATCTTTGCTGGTTTTTGACTGTAGTAAAGGTGTTCCCACTGGACATGGTTATTCAGTCAGGAAGAAATAGAGGATACTGTATTAGACAGGCCATGTGTAGGGTACCTTTTCTAGCCCCCTCCCCATGTGGGGTGAGTAGAGCGGATCCTGAAGAGGGCTGTCACAGTTACAGGTGCCGAATCGCACTCGTCTCGTCCAAATGCTAGGTGACCTTCTTGTAACTACTGCCTTCATGACAGTTCATGACTAGGATCTTTCAGATCTCACAGTCCTGCTTCTGTTTCCATTAGGTGGCCGCCAAAGGGTTTGACGAATATGTTGGAAAAGTGGTTTTCATGGAAGATGCTTGTGCCTGACCTCTTTTATTGTGGAGAAGCTGCTGCACATCGGCTTCCATAGGCCTCTTGACAGAATGGGACCTTGATTCAGTGGCAAGGAGACCAATACAACTGAGGATCTTGTTCTGCTGCAGCCTTCGTTCATTTTTGCAGCCATTGAGATTCTAATGGACTTGTAGACCCATGGCTTGGGGTTGGGCAGGCTTATTTTAGGCATTTAACTCTCATTAATACCAAGAAAAAGTGTAGTCAATAGGGAAAATGTTTTAAAGCCTTGCTTTATTCAGTATTTACTCTGAAACACAAAGAAGTTCTATAGAGACATAACATATATATTATTCCAGTAATTTCAGGAGTCATTGTATAGTGGTTTGGGTCACAGGTAAGAATTCACAGCTTCTGGTTCTGACCCCTTAGTTCACTGAACGCTTACATTATAACACTGTAAAAAGGATGCCTGGTTATGAAGCATCCTGATGTGTTTGAACAAAAGATGCTATAACTAAAAGCTTTTTTTCCTATACAGTACTATTTCATACTAGAGCACTGGGCTACGTAAGTCTGTGAGGGTATGGGGTATCTAAACTAAGGTCTCAGTTGGTTTAACCTGTTTGACCTTCTCTTTTCTTTTAGGAAGTGAAGAAGGATGCTGAACCCAAGGATGACTGTTTGCCAGTCAAGAGGGAGAAGCCTGGAAATGTTGCGAGCCTTGTGCAACGCATGAGCACTTATGGGCTTCCTGCAGGAGGAATTCAATTTCATCCTCAATCCAGAAGCCTCAAGAAGAGTATGTAGCTTTCCTCCTTTGCATTATATAGATGCCTAAGATCAGTGGTTCATAGCACTACTGTATTCAGCGTGGTACGGCGACTTTAGGTCCCAAAGGAAATTTGGAAACAAAGGAGTAAACCAGGCCAAATTCTGCTTACAGGTGTGGGCACAAGGTTTATTTTGGCTTTTGTCCTCTTCATATCAGAAGGCAAAGTTAGGCAATAAAAAAATTGTGATGTGAATACATCAAAAGAGAGGATTCTGTGGCTTTGCCTTTCTGTAGTTTTCAAGTGTAGTCTTCCAGGGCACCTATACACAGCCTCACTGCTGTAATTACAGTGTGTTGGAGCAGACTCGATTTAATTAAGTCTGCTGGAGTGTGGTAGTTGCTGTACTCCAGCAGCCTCTATCATCTTGTGTATCAGCATCCCCGCTCTTCAGAATGGCAGACGGGGTGCTTTATCTAAAGCAGGGGCAGGCAGTTATTTCGGGCTTACCTTGTTTTGGCAAGTTGTCAAGGGCTGCATGGGTAGCCTTGCCTCTTGACAGGTGCCCTGCCTCTTGACAGGTGCCCCACCCCCTGGTCACCATCTTGGGACCAGTGTCCCAATGTCTTGGAACCAATGTCCCAGGGCCAGCATGGGTGGGGCCCAGAGTAAGGACGCAGGCTGGCAGGGGTCTGTGGAGCTGGGCTGGGCTGCACCAGCAGGGAGAAGGGGAAGCTGGCCTGGCTTCATAGAGCCCCTGCTGGCTGGGACCCTGTACCCCTGCCACCCTGCTCTGGGCCCTGCTGGCGCTGGCCCTGGGACACTGGTGCACAGAGCACCAACCCCCTGCTCACTGGCAGGGAAGGAGCTGGTGCAGAGCGTGGGAGAAAGGTGGCTCCTCGCCCACCCTGTGGCTTGCAGCCCCTGCTGGGCTGTCCTGAGTAGGCACAGGCAGCCCCATGCAGGCTGCAAATGGCTGCAGCATGAGGTGCTGGTCCCGTGGCAGGGCTGCTTTTCCCTACACTCAGCACCAGCTTGTAACCTGCCTCCGCTGCCAGCCTGGGCCCCATGCCGGCTCCGCGCTCGCATGTTGGGGCTGTGCCGCAGCGGCAGCAGCTGTTCGGAGCAGAAGGAAGCGGCCCCCCCGCTTGCCACACCGGGCAGTGTTTGCTGCTGCTGCCCACCTGGAGCTCATGCTCTGGGCAGCCTAGAGGCAGCAGGGGCAGCCTCACCACAGCCTACTGTAGCATGAGCTCCGGGCGGGCAGCCGCAGCAAACGCTGCCCAGTGCAGCAAGCAGGGGGCCGCAGCTGCTGCCATTGCGGCACAGCCCTGTCTGGTGAGCCTGGAGCCGGCATGGGGCCCAGGCTGGCAGCAGGGGTGGGTTACAAGCTGGTGCTGAGCCTGGGGGGAAGAGTGGCCCCTTGCCCGCCCTGTGGCCTGCGCCCCACCCTGCAGCCCCTGCCACCATTTTGAAGTGCAGGAATACTGATACATGAGACTCTCTCCCTGCACTTTTAACTAAAGGAGCTCTTGGACCCACTCTCATTAAAGCCCTGCCCCCCCCCCCCAACACTCCTGGAGCATGTGCATAAATGCCCCAAGTAGTTAGAGAGTAGGGAAGTTTGCTGGCCTAGAATGGTGATCTTCCTGCAACTGTTAGGCCAATGTAAATAGTGCATGTGCTATAACCTATTCCCTGCAGATGAAAATAGAAGTAATCAGACTAAATATTGTTGATTTTTTTTTTTTTTAACCTTTGTCATAGGGTGAGTTCTGATCAAATTCATTTGCCTTTCCCCAGGAAAATCTGTTTTAGCAGAGAAAAATGCTTTTTTTTTTAAATATACACTTCATGCCCAGCTAGGGTTTTTTTTTTTTTGTTTTTTTCTGTTTTAGTGGGGATGGGGGGCAGGGAAAAGAGTCCATTCTATGAACTGTCTTGAAGAAAACGAATCTGTGTTTAATGGGTTCCTGCCTGGTAAGTAACTTACTGGGTCCCTAAGATGATTTCAGAAGCCTGAATCTTCTCAGACGATGAGGGAATTGTACCCTTACAGTGGCCGTTTTCTTCTTTTCAAACAGTTTGGATCAGGAGGAAAACTAGATAAAACTTTAAGCAGCTGCTGTAGCTGCTTGATTTGGCCTGTTCTCCTCTGAAACTTTATCTGATCTGAGGACACAGACTCAAAAGTGGTGTTGTACCTTGACATCTGCTTTTCAGCATTAGAACTGGCCTCTGAAATGTCTCGATGAGAATTGCTTCTGGTAACTAAGAAATGTTTTTAGCATCCATCATTCTTCTTGCCAAAGAAAATCCAGTGCTGTGTGATAGGGAAATAAGTTGTTTTCTAGTTCAGGTTCACCTAGTTGGGCACAGTTGTTAAAGCCTCTTTCAAAACGCTGAGGAGTTAGGTGTGGTTCTGTAAGGCTCATTAAGTAGTGTGCTCTCTGTCTGAAGACTGATCTGAGAAACAGGTTGGGGGGGTTTTATTAATACAGTATTGATACAGAAAGTTCTGTGCGTATTTTGGGGGCAGACTTGCTTCTGTCATTAACAGATATTTTTGGATGGTCTGTTTTGTATACTATGTGCTAATGAGTTTGTTAACACATCGTTGAAGCTTGCTTCAAACAGGCAACACTGTTGATATCCTGAATTCAGCTGCTGTTTCCAAAACTTTATACTTTTTTGCATGTGCGAACAAAGATGTTATATAACAACCAGTAAGTTTAGAGCTGGTTATTGTGTAGAATTTCCACAGTTTTTTAGGGTGCACTGATCTTTTTTTTTTCCTTCTAATTGCTGATTTTAATGATTCAATCAGCAATCAGGAAACCTGAATTGAACTAATTGATTTTTAAATTTTAATTTGCCTTGGCACTTGTTAATTGCCCTTTATTTAGTTGTAGTTTGATTCTGGGGGGTTGTGTATTTTGCACTGTTTGCTCAGTAGGATATTCTGTGTATTTAAGTGTCTGTATAATAGGACATGAATACATATAGATTATTTTTATTGTTTCACCAAATCATGAATGATCCTTCCTATTCCCTAGATTGATTTTTTTTTTTTTTTTTTTTTTTGATTA